GGTCTGTATGAAGTACCTAAAAGCGCCAAAGGACACCATAAGGAAGCCATAGATACGCCACTAAAGTATATAACAGCGTATGGTAGTAAGGCCTAGTTCTCTGCCGGGTAGAGGATCCATCCCTGTTGCCTTTCTGGATCAACATCAAGTGTGATAGGTTCCTCATTCTCTGAACTATTTAGAGAGAGTACCCGTTCGTCTGAATCATTCTCGAATCTGCACAGCAAAGATATATCAGCTTCCTGTCTAGAGGCACAAGATAGTTATACGCACATATATGTGTGCGGCCCGACAGGTATAGCCTTCCAGAGTGTATTCGGAAATGCATCAGGCTCATGTACCGGGAAGGGCAAAGGGACTATATCAAATGTTAGCTAGGATAAGTGCCAGGGTATAATGATAGATTGACAAACTTCGAGAACCGATATACTGAGTTTCTTGGCCGACTTCACCGGCGAATCTAATAGTGTACGTGCCAGGCACTTCGCCTGATTCTTCGATCTTCCAAGTCTGTTGTTCGCTGCCGTTCCTTCCGCTTTAAGATGTAGGTAAGTAGTGTACAAGTTCAGGAGAAGAGGTAGGACATACTAGCCGATAAGCTGACCGGCGCTCCTACTCAGATCAAGAGCTTGTTGTGTGGCCTGGTGCACCAACGCATATGTACCTGGTTCGATGTCACCCATGATGATACTAGAGATAGTTCTTGCGACTGAAGGTAAGGAAAGTGGGTTGAGAGATGAGAGCTGAAAAGCGCGAAAGTCTGCCGATTTATATCAGAGGTAGAATTCGAAAAGGCATTCTGAGCTGCCCAGCGAGGTGGGGTACAAATATCTTGCGCTATATTAGTAACGCATGGGGCGATGCTGATCTGCATTAGCGGCACCAGATTGTGACTACTCATAGATCCGATCTCCAAGCGTTCGCTCCACTGTTCAGCTCGGCCAGGTCATGGCTGTGATCAGACGCAACTCCTCGGCCAATTACGGAAATGCCTCATCTCAAGATCGACCGTATCAAGTCGGGCTCAAAAGATATATCTCGATTCAAAGCGCTGATCCTGACACACCGCCTCTAACCCCTCATTACTACTCTGACTGAAATTCGAAATGGATAGGTTTGCAAAGCCAATCGTTAGTCAACACGAATCAAACATTGATCTCTCGTGCTAGGATAGTCTGTCATGACTGGTGGATGCCAAGCTACCATCCCAGCTGAAGTTATAAGGTATATTCCTATTTGCTTGTTGTCTGCAGGCATATCAACGAGTGTGGGGGCATTGGCTTGTCATAATGGGGGTACTGGCATAGCTGACGGATGACCACATGTTTTCTGTACGAAATAGTTCTGCAGTCAAAGGTATTAGCTCGATATACACCTTCTTTAGATTGGCGATATAGAGGGGGAAACAACAGAATATTCGCACTGTGCTACACATTTTAGGCTTCTCCCGCGCTCGACCCGACCCGAACCCGAAGCGGCTGATCTCCGGCGATGGGATGCTGTGGAATTATATCAACAGTTGTATATGTGTTTCAGAGCCAATTCCTCACCACCAAGCAATTTTTTAAGTGCATTGGAGTATGGTATCATGGATTGGCATGGTGTAAAAGTCCAATGATGCTCGTATATTTATACAACGTTTGTTTCACGCTTATTTTGTCAGACAGAAATATACTGTCTCATTGAACGTTATCTGGCTATAGAAGACAATCATGAAGGCCGTCGCCGCTCTTCTTCTCTTAATTGTCGGCCAACCCAAGGCCCTTAGGGTGACAGGATAGCTGAGAGAGCATAGTCGAGTCCTGTGACGTAGAGGTTCGTGATAGTTATCAATGGTCTAGACACTACGCTCGAGTGCTAAACGTGATGGGGTGTCCTCAATTTGCAAGCGAATGCGAAGCGAGACATCTGTACATTGAGGGCTTTGTTTGATTTTCCGCAGCTCTGCCCTTGTTACCACGTATTTAACTTTTCTTGCTTTCGGCTAATCGCTTCACGGTTGTTTTAGATGCCAAGGGGCTGTATAGTACGTATTCAAGCTCAGCGTTGTCGAACATTAACATCAGCAGGATACTTATGCAGCCCTATCACCGTTGCCCGCTTTGGATGAAACGCGCGATGGCCCCCAGAGGCAAGAGGGGTATACAGCGGATCTAGATCCAACGCACTAACTCCATAGAACTTGGTACGTATGCTCTTCTTACCCACGCCAGGGCAACGCGTCAAGTTTCTCATATCTTTATCTGAACCTTTGGCTATAATTGTTTATGTTCTTTTCACAGTCCTTGAAGGTCGAAAGATACTGGAGAAGAAGTTCTAAATAAAGACTAATTCAAGAATCGAGGTTTAATAGGCCAAAATAACATTCAGAATAGGGGCTAGCGTATCAAGGATTAACTATTATGTAGCAATATTTTATACTCGGCTTGAGATTCTATTGTATTGTAGGTAGAGGTCTATGGTGGCGCAGCTGCACCAGTCCTCCGATCAACTGAGAAACTGACCTCCAGTGCGACACCGAGATGTTCCGTAGCGACCATCGTAGTAAGGTTTGGTTGTTGTGAAGAATCAGATCAATAACCCTGGCCGATCCTTCGATAGTGTATTCAACCCAGCTTAGCAGGTCTCCCTTTTTGTATACGAGGGTATGCAAATAGGCTCTTCCAGCATGTAAACATACTTTAATACCGCAAAGGTATCAATGCCCCCGGTATTCGGCCCAGGATCTAATATATAATCCTGATCGGCAGCCATCTAACTTAAGTGATGATGGTCATCCACATTTATTTTGATCTCGCTATTTTGGCAAATCACTAGGTAGATCAGCTGCCTTTTATCAAGCTCCTCTATTGTTACTCCCCTTGCGATTAGGCTTTGAAAATTGCCGTCCATCCCAAATCTCATACTCGACTTCACCCAGCACCCACTCGTCTAACAGCTTTCAACCACGAAATTCCCACCATGCAGCCCATGAGAGCTCTCGGTAAATCACTGTTTTTCACTCTTATCATTGCACCTGTGATATGCAATCATAGGAGGGAGCGAGGCCTCTCCAAGTAGTGCCCCATTTACAGTCGCCGTCATCTCGAGTAACCTCTTCGGTGACAGCTATCTATGTACTGGCTCCTTAATTAGCCCAAAGACTGTTCTTACTACAGCTGGCTGTGTCTATGGGTCTTCGGCAACTTCGCTAAAGATACGAGTGGGTAGTCTCGAGCACGCTGCTGGGGGCAAATCGAACCAGGTTATCAAAGTCATCAAACATCCCAACTATAACACCAACACCCGGAATGTCGATTTTGCCGTCCTCCATCTCACGTCCTCGGTGACCGATATCGAGCCTGTGGCGATCGCCACGCAGGATACACTTACAGGGGCCCCTGTAACCCTCTACGGCTGGGGAAAGACAGACAAGTTGTCGAATGAAAATGCTCGCGCACTGCAACAGCTCCAGACCAGTTTCATCTCCTTTGATGATTGCAAAAAGTCATGGTCAGACCTATATCCTCTGACTTTCAGCATGGATTGTGACGCGGCGCCAGAGAAAGAACAGGGCTCTTGTTCCAAGGACCAAGGGGGTCCCGTTGTTAATGAATCTGGAGAGCTGGTGGGCATTATAGGATACTACAATTACTGCGAGCCGTCATCGAATGGTCGTCCTGATGTCAATAACGACCCGTTAAATGTAGATAGCTGGATCGCTCAAAATACCATCTGATTGGCTTACTTGGAAAGTAAGGCGCAACTACTAGTATAAAGTATTGCGGTTGTTCGTACTGAAAAGGTACCCTGATAGAGCAGAGCACTACATACACGCATATCTAGTTAGTCAACGCATTTCTTTCAATATAAGGGATATGCTGTTTTGTCAATAATAATATGCTCGCTTAATGTAACATACGGTTCAATTGTCACCATCACAACAGGTCTGATTTTCTAACTACAGGTCTAGACAATTGGTGATTTACAATCTACACATGACAATTTACTATCTACAGTAGGAAGTTAGGCTATCGAGAGTTTTGGCCAATTGAGAAGGGAATAACGGAGTTTCGCAATAGGTTATGATACCCCCATCGGGAAATGGCTTTGTGTATATCTGTACTGCTGACCTCTGCGGCACCGTCCTCCGCCCGCGATGTCTCGTAGAATTGCCTACCCTCGATACTAACCTATATGAGGGTTGTTCTTTCCAGGAAAGCCCGATCTACACCTGGAGAGCATTGCACGCCGATACATTGGGTAGGCATGACCCCTGTCAATGCATTAGCACCTACCTGTCCTCGGGTTGTTTTTCGACACATCACTTTGGACTACCTTTTAGGTCATCAAAGCATGGCGGCTTGAATCCACCTGAACACCATGAAATCCTTGCTTTTCTCGTGTTTTGCTCATGGACATTGTTTCTTACTCTGGCTCTGATTCGCTGCCTAGCAAGTTCCACACCGTTTATCTGATGATAGTATGGAATGAAGGCCTGCGTCAAGTCTTCTCGTTCCTTCCATATTTCCATGCAAGCGTCCAGGGTATGATATCAAGAATGAGAAGCCCGGGTTCACATTTGACTTTACTATTCTCGTGACCAGTCATAGCCATACCATGCAGTTTAGGGTGGCCAAGCTTAGCATTAGCTACGCGTATCTCCAACGGCATTCCTATCTTTGGGCCCAGCAAAGACAGTTTGCATAAGTATGAATGAGCAGATGAGATGCCTTGTTCTCAACACAATTTGCTCATATATACTCCGTACAGGGAAAGAAAAGAAAATAAGATAAGATAAGGGGAACTACACAATGTGGATTATGAATCCAGTGACACAGTATCATAGGTGTCAAACATTAGGAGCGTCCTCCCTTACCTCATCTCTGCGAGAGCAGCGCGTAGATCCTGAGTCTCTTTGACAAGAGTATAACCACTTTCCAACATCATTTCGCACCCCTTAATGAGACTATTTATCGTCGTCTGCATAGAAGCGCGTCCGGCGTCAGTCTCTTTCATTGCTAGTTCTTTAAACGTAGAAAGCAGCTTTTCCAATCGATTGAAGCTGTCAGATGTTTCAACATCCAGATCAGTCGGGCGCTGATAGGTGGCGGAAGGGTGATGCGTTGATTAGCAGGCTGGCCTGTTTCGCGATTGGGATTGATCGAGGGTGATCCAGTTTCTGCACTAGCACTCCCGACAACTGCGGTATAGATCCGGCGAGAATATATTCGTCGGGGATAAATTGGTCTCAATTCTTCGTGTCTTTGAAGGTAGTTGTATACCCATTTTTCACCAACGGTCACATTTGGTGTGGTGCTGCGGCTGGCGAGAATGGCATTGGCCTTTTCTTCGATCTGCGACCGCGAGGGGGCAGTTTCATGTTGTTCAGTTACTGATATTATCCACCTGGATAGCGACTCCTCATCTTCCAAGCTCAATCTATGACAATTTGCCCATGTTTGAGACCGGCTTTTAACCCCCTTCATCCTGTTGAGTAAAGTTGTTGAGGGCACGTCGTATTTGAGAGCTGCCTGCCGTGCGGAAGAGAGTTTGCCATCTTGTAGATCTGTAATTGCTGATTGAATCCTTTCTTCCTGCGCTTTTGAGTCTTTTGATTTTTGTCTCCGTGCTGGCGGCATGATTGCTGCTTGGCAGTGTTTGCGCGGCTGGCTTCGAAAGTTGCGGACGTGCTACTGTTGGGGCGCGCGGCTCGCTTACAATTACAAAGATCACGTGAGAGAGAATTCAACTCTGGCTATCCTTTTCAAGGCAAGTCTACACTGGACTATGTAAGAGAATAACAACGATAGAATATTTTGCCTCGAAAGTAAGGAAGAGGTACTCAGGTTAGGATTACACATACGTAAAGCTTCAGCCCACCACTTGTTTGTATACGTCCAAAATAGATCGTTGTATTATTCGGTAGACTAAATCGCGCTAACAGACAATAGGACTGATTTCGCGATTTCTTACCGAAATCTTAGTGTTTTACATAAGGCCACGGCTACCACGCACCTTCTGAAGACTTGTTGTCTTACCGCCCTCGAATCTCGCCACCATCCCCGGAACTGGGGCCCTAGCCTAGGGTAGCCAGGATACTAAAAGTCTAAAACCTAGAGAGGACCGTAGAGAGATATACTACCGGCGCCTCTAAAGACGTAGTACTGGAGCCCCTAAACACCTAGTGCTGACATCACTCAAGATCCAGGGTCTCTAAGAGACTCTAAAAGGCGGTCACCTAATATCTCGGAACTGGACGAGTCGATAGTCCGAAGGTATAGAATTGATCTAGAGTATATAATTGGTTAAAATCTAGGGTGGGACCAAGTAATTATATATTATTGGTCGCCCTCAAGTGCGTTGGTATTCGTAAAGTTGGTAATATTATCCATACATTGTCCGTTAGCTCGATTTGGTCCGTTGTAATTATTTGATCATACGTTTGAATTGTTTGCATAATTGATATAGCGGGATTTAAGGTGAACGACAAGCGGCAACTATTGCATAGATGATAGGACATGCAATAGCTATTGAACATCTTGCAGAAATAGAAGGCACGGCGATAGTAATCGCAGACTCGCGTTCTAGTTTAGGTTGTCTATTCCTAGGTAACAACTCTAGAGCGGGAGACTCTGACTGTCAGCCGGTATCACGTTAAAATCACTAAAATATTTATAGTGGTGACATCCACGAACACAGTCTCTCTTCGCTTCGAATATTAAAATCGGCAGGGTAGCTACAATGACATGGATATAGATCATGCTTTTCACTTGCATGCAAATGGTGTGTCCATTTTGTAAGGTATCTGATGGAGATGCTTGCCTTTCTGAAAACCGTGTGAATGAATCCTCTTGTTGATATCTCAAATGATAGCTCTATTAATCACTGGCTTAATATCGTCTCTGCATCTTGAAATAGGGTAAATGATGACGAGCTTTCTAGCACGACTTGGTGGATTCCTACCTTGGGACTGACAGAGAGCCCTCCAGCTTCAACTATCATTTGGAGAGATGCCAACCTGGTAAGTCTTCAGGCGATTGCATAGTTTTTGGATCATGACGAGGCCGATTGTCCCAATGTATATAGATTACGAGATACAAGAAGCCATATATATATGTATCACCCTGTATATCTTAATTGAGAAAGTTCCGGCGGTTTGATACAAGCGCGCTGTCTATCCGATATATGTCTGGTACATTCCTAATTAGAATAATATCAATCGATATCATGTAGAGATTTGGAGTCAAGACATATCGAAAATCCGCCATCTTGGAGAGAATGAGACTGATAAGGCTATCCAATAGGTCGTTAAATGATGATACTGGGAGACTATAAGTGCCGGTGTTTGATGAGCCATGACTTGCAATTAGTACAGAACTTACAGATACGTTGAGTCTGTGGGTCATCGGTGTTAGCGTGGATTTATCGGCCATAGCCGCCCTATGAAAACGCTAAGAGAGAAAAAATGACAGGGGAAAGATAGATGGGCTCCACCTCGATCCATGGTTCCAAAGCAGGCCGCGGAAGCCCGGAAATAGCTCTAGTTGCTCCTCTAGGCCTCGAGGAACAAACCCCTCTTCCCCCTTCTCTCACCACTTGGTCTATCGGTCGTTTTCTCCTGTAGGAGGTAATCTCTACTAAATTTCTTTGGCATGTGGGGTTTCGTTCTCGCTCTCATATCAGTAAGAACAGTCAGGCATTCTTTCGCCTTCATGTTGGACTATCAATGCTGGCCTGAGGAGCGTATCAGAGAGAAGATCGTACGATAACATCATTATGGATGACGATCGCTACCTAATGCCCGAGAATAGATTGCCAAGACAGGTCTATACGCCCAGCTTCACAACGGTGCCAGTAGCACATACACTTCACAAATCAAAATATAGACAAGGGGTAGCTAGTGGGGATGACTTTATAATAAACTTTGAGCCTCTGCTACCTCGTGCCCACGTATTGACCCTTAGACTCCTACCACAATGGGATAAAATTAGGCGAGACTGACATTGGCGATCCGAGGAGAACGAAAACAACGTGGAGCCACTGGGAAGGGTAACAGAAGCTCGTATGCAAGGCCCAGTCATAGGACACGGACCCGAGGTGATGCAATGTGACTGGCCGGGGAAATTGGAACGTGAACCGAGCTGTTGATCCCATTGACTAGTGTAGAGAATTGGCGCGACTGGCGCGGTGGATCAGCACCTTCTGTCGCGCCCCCGGAATTGACAGTCTTGGAGAACAGAGAAGTCTTTCGGTAGGTCACACGGTTCATACCAAAGGCAGTTCAAACCTTTTATCTGGATGCAGTGGGCATTGGGCAGTGGAGAGTAGAAGGAAGGTGTTTCCATTCTGCGTTCGCCAGATCAGAAATGAGACAGTTCCTGAAAGCCGCACGGCCTCACGTCAGTTTTGACCACGCGGAAGGGTCGGGATTATTTTTGATGGATAGAAAGGGGGTATTCCCCTCGCCTGACTCGTGAACCATCATGTCTAGCGTGCGTGGGCTTTCGCATCACACTTCTAAATTAGTGTACCAGCTGGGGAGGGGGTGCGCTACGTTAGTCACACCCCTCATTTGTTGGGCCATTTCACCAAGGTTTATCATAAAATTGTGTGTGAGAAATACCCTATATTGGCAAGTCACGAAAGGGAATATGTATTGGGTACATACCATCAAAGTGATGACGTGCGTTGACTCTATTTGATATCACAATGTGGACAGCAAATGGTGGCCATTTAAAGGGTTCGCTAATTGTAAGAAGGTGACTAGGAAATTTAGAAGGAGATTTAGATCCATATCTATCCAATAGAAGTAGGTACGCTTTGACGTACTAGATAGCGAAACCCAGTATTAATTCCAGATGGGCGTGAGGCTGTAAAGCCTCGGAATATAATCCCTGTCAAACAAGGCACCCCTGCCGTCTGGCTATCAGGCCTGCATCTCTAGAGAGACTTTACGGCCTATATAAGGAGGGAGGAAAGCGTCCTGTTGCGTATGCTGAGAGACTTGCCATTTTTTTATGCTGATCTTTTGGGATTATATAATATCCATTATCCTTTCGTCGAAATGTCTACACCTCAGAGGCTTGCTTCTCCCAGTAGTGAGGAAGTGCGCAAACTGTTACCCTCTTTAAATGCTTCTTGAAGACCCACTAACTTAACTCAGCGAACGGTCGAACTGCCCGTCGATCCTCAACGTGACATAGGACTTGCCACCGTCGTTTATAGACGCGACGGCCATATAGAAGATCGACGTTACCACTTCCAAGATGATCGTATTATCCCAGCAGACATGGTTGCTAGAATGACCAGACATCAAAACACTGAAAGCCAGGAGTGTATGTGCCACATCCCTTAGACTTTACTAGATAAGCAACTGATGGCCATTTAGCAACGGATAGTATCAGCGAATGCTCAATGTCTGAGGATGGAGAGCCCCAGGGACAGGCCAAGGAGACTTGTCATTGTTACCAGGATACTGAGATGGACGAGTCCTCTAAGGTTATCAATGGAGATATGGTTGATGGCTTGAAACCCTCAAGTCTTCGGAAGCATCATATGCGTGGAGGCTCGGTGAAGGGAAATAGCAAGTTGGTCAATGGCGACATTGATAGGCATGCATTTCTTGCCTTTTTCTGTCGCGATTAACACAGCGGCTTTCATTTGAACCCCATGGTAATTAGTGATCAGTTGGTACCTCTTTTACTATTGCATATTACAGTGACTAGTACTAGACTGGGTAGTCTGTATTTTACATATGGGATTACCCTGCCAATGCTGAAGCTACTACTATCTGCCAACTGTAGTGACATACAGTAGATGTAGAATAGACATATGCCGCAAAGGTAGTATTACTATCGTAGACATGGACAGAATAACACATGCAAAGCAATAGTACAATCAATTTATGAGTATATACAGACTTTCATACGGAAGAAAGATAGACGACATGACTAGTCGTTATTCCAGAGCTCAATTTGACTCGCTAGTCATTTTTAATATAGAGCCGAATTTGCGCTCAGGTAAGAAGGTTACGCACCTCTTGCTCAAGTCAGTGTGAAGAGGGAGTCCATCGTAAGGATTAGCGATAATCTCGTATTAAGTATGCGACTACTGATGCATTGTGTTAATAGCACAAGAAACAGAAATTGACCTTAGCTCCATGGAGTACTGGATTATATCCCCGCTTCGACCCCTAAGGTATGTCTTTCCCACAGGAAGAAATAGTGCAAGCAACACCATCAAGAATCAAGATTATCTCCAGCCCTGAGCCTTCCAGTAGCCGTACCTTGAAGATATGTCAAGGATCGGTGGTAAGCGGACTTCGCACCTTAGATGGGTGTTGTTTACGCTTTTGGTGTATGAATGAGACAACATCGAGGGCTGCCATGCTGTGGCTGATGAGTGCCACAATGGCCAACAAACAGCCATTTTAAGGTATACATTATTCCGCTACCATCTGTTTCTGGGTAGCCTCGGAGAATGCCCTGGTCGTTGTGCGATTCGTCAATATGAATTTAGTATACAGTGCTAGACTACACCGTCTACCAAATAGTGAAGGCGATGCCGAAAGTGACAACACAGGGCTTGATGAGTATGCACCGGCAATACTACCTGAAAAGGGCTCTAGCCGGGGTGTCTT